AATCTTAAAACAAAAATTAAGATTAAGCAATATTCAGAAAATTAAATACTAATTAATTAAACATTAAATATTTCAAAACAATTGAACTATGAAAAAGTTTTCATGATAGCAAAGAAGTACTAAGAATAAAACATAAGATAAATACTGGAATAGCAAATAAATGACCAGCACTTCTAAGAGTTTGAGGATAGGATACTGCACAAAGTTCTAGTGTATTGTGGACAAGGAAAATGTCTATGACACTTACTCGTAGCCAAGTGTCACTTGTGGGAATGAGCTACAGTTCTTTCCTTGAAATCCACCCTGTAGACCCAGATGGAATCATGACCCATAAGGTGCAAGAAAAGTCCATTTGTAGAGTGTGCTGATGGAAATATTTTACTGCTGTACACAAAAGAATAACTGAAAGATTACAGTTGTATACCTCTTATTCTCCTGTGTTTACTTGTTTGCTCTATTTCGTTGGTTCTTTTCATTCTCATTCATTTTGCTCCCTCTCTAGAACATCTTTCAGTAGTCTGTGTAGGCTTGGCTTTGTCATCATGAAATTTCTTGGTTGTTCTTTGTCATAGAAGTATTTCACTTCTCCATTATACTTGAAAGAGAGTTTTGCAGGATAATCAGTCTGGGTTGGAATTTGTTTTCTTGCAAGACTTGAAGTCCTTTGATCCATGCTCTTCTTGACTTGATGGTTTGTGAAGAGAAATCTGCCATTTTTCTGATGGATTTTCTTTTAAATGTGTTATGTTTCTTTTCTTTAGCAGCTTTTAGTATACTCTTCCTGTGCTGAATTTCTGGGATCTTGATTTTTATATGTCTGGGTGTTTTTTAAATTGGGTTGATGTTATTTGGAGTTCTGTATGCTTCGGTTACTGAATGTCAAATTGTTGCCCCATATTTGGGAAGTTTTCTGCTATTACTTCTGCCCATATTTTTTTATATCATTTGTATTGACTCCTTCCTCTCCTTGATGCCTATTAGTCTCACATTGCTCATCTTTGCATTGTCTTGCAGGTATTGAATTATTTTTTTTCCTGCATCCTAGTTGTTTTGAAGAGATATTTTCTTGCTTTTTCACTAGCTGAAATGGTGTCTTCAAGGTCTAAGTCTATTTTCACTTTCACTCAAACGGTTTTGCCAGCTTGTGATTGAGGTTTTAATTTCCTGTATATCACTTTGAGTCTGCTTCATGCATTCTATGTCTTTCGTATATTGCTTATTCAGGGATTTCATCATTTTTATATTCTGCTCTATTTTTTTTATCAGTGTATTCTTTAGAAGCACTTGGTACTTCTTTCATTATAGTTATCATTACTTTTTTTTACATCAGAAATTATTTCTGATTTGATTTCTTCTATACCTTTCTGCAGTTGTTTCTTTACTTCCAACGCTATTATTTCAGAGGTTTCAGGTGTTTGTTTTCCAATGTCCTCTTTGCTAGTGTCTTCTGCACTTGTTATGGGTGGACTCGGGGCCTGAGACTGCATTTTGTTCCTTCTCTTTGTCATTTTGTATACCACTGTCTTCTGATTTTTGGTGTAGAACTTAGATAAAGTTATTACTTTAGTACCAGGACTGGATCTATGAAGTTCAGATTCTTCCAGGGGTGTGTGGCTTGGATCTGATTGGGGTCTGGTTTCTGTGCTCCACTTCTTCCTGCTGAAGCCATTGGATTTAAAACTTTGTGTCACTCTTGTAAGATGTTCTGCTCCTGAATCAGCTTGGTATGTCTTGCCTCTATCCTCTTTGCAGGGAGTTCTGCTGCAAGGTTCCATATTGGTCCTGCACTCTGGGTCAAATGAGGATCCAGTGGGCCTAGTGATCTCACTCACATGCCAGGCCTGCACTCTGGGTCAATTCAGGATCCGGAGGCCCCAGGTTGGAGATTTATTTTAAATACTTCAATAGAGAGGAGAGAGGGAGGACACAGTCCCGAATAACTTCAGAATGCACATAGTATTCAATCACTTCTTTCCATGTGCATGTTCTTCTCTTGCTAGGATTCGTTCAACAACCTAATCTGTGTCCTAGCTTTTTACATAGTTCTTTGCATATCTCACTTCTAACATAGCATGATGAACTTAGACTACAGCAAATCTAACTTTCCATCTATTTCAGAGTAAAGGTTGAAGTCCTTGCCAAGGTGCTTGTGATGCAGCTACATTTGTCTTTCTCACTCACATCTCCCTTAGCCACCTCTGATGACTCTTCTGGCTCCTTCCTCTCACGCTTCTCTCCTGATGACTTTAGGATGTTCAGGGTAAACTGCCAGTTAAAAATTTTAAAACAATGTTTTTGTTAGTTTTTAAGAGTAAAGCTAAACTTTTAAAATTAGATGCTTTGAAAACCAGAATTTAAAAATAATTGAAAGTACTGGACAGTGGCTTGCTCTGACTCTGCCCTCCTCCCTTCTGTATTCCTTCAGCCACCATCCTGGAATGCCAGGGTACAGATTTGAAACCACTTGCCAAGTTGGCTTTGTTGACTTGTGCACTTAGACTGAGCTCTTGCTGTGGCCAGTGGCTTATATTTGCTGCTGTGCATTCATTTTAGTTTCAGTGCTTTAGCAGAAAGGCAATGCCTTCTGAATTAGGGTTATTTTTCCAATTATTATCCCTGTGATAAACTATTTAGTTCTAATGTTCTTACTGTAACAATGGGGGCTGAGTTTCATATCTCTCCTACAAGAATTCTCTACTCATGAATCCTTAAAGCAGTGAGACCTGACTGAGATCATGTCTTGCGGGAAATGCTAGGTCTGAACTGATACAACAATTCAAAAGTGTTTAAAATAAAATGACAGAAATGAATTTCATGTACTATGAGACCTCCTTGAACCACATACATTTTGGTTTTTGAATATGTTTTATTTTTTGGAGAGTTTTAGATTCACAAAAAAACTGAGTGGAAAGTTCAGAAAGTTCTCATAGAGCCCTTGAGCCCACCCAGCCTACACCTCCCCACTTGAACACGCTGCACAAGTGTTATGTTTAATGCAATCACCAAGCCAGTGTGCATTCATATTTCTTACCCAAAGTCCATAGTTTCCACTAGGGTTGACTCCTGTTGAGGTAAATTCTCTGAGTTTGCACAAGTATATAAAGACAGGTATTATGATATCACACAAGACAGTATCGTCACCATGAAAGTCCTCATGGCTGTTCCTCTATCTGAATATGACTTAGGGTAACTCTTCTTCAAATCTTCATTTAGGTTGTCCACTTGATTTGAAAATTCTTTTCTTCTACTCTTAATTACCTATTCAAACCAGACCAGGACGATTCATTTCAGATTGCACTTTTCCCTAAGGCCAGCTAGAGTCAATTAACTCTATGTCCTTTGTGCCCTTGGCCCCTTCTGTAACAGGTATTCATTACATGTTCTCTCACCAGTGAAACATACTTAGCACTGTTTCAGCTCTGTAACTTTTCATTTATAGGGGCCTGATGTACACGGTAGGGTTCTGAAGTTTTTGAGGACTGCTGTCCTGTCATCTTTTCTCTGACAGTATCTAAGTTATTGCCTGACATCCTTCCAGCTTAGCATTCAGTTCTGAGTGAATTATTTAATGGAATGCAATGACATCTTGGAGCCATACCTTCCCTAGGTCACCACATGCATAGAAGAAAAGATTTAAGAATGATTGTCTTCATTTGTGTGATTTTAAGACAATTTTGGGAGCCATTTAAAGGAGGAACAAAATGAAATTAAAAAGTCACAAAATGTTTGATTAGAGTGGTTTTTTTAATTAATTCAGTGTCAAAATCACCTTACTCTATGTGGCAAGTATTATCAATCAGGCCTAAATTATTAAGAATAATGCATTTAAAAGATTATAATATACATGGGAAAATTTTCTTTCTTATAAAATTGAAAAATATTAAGGCTTACCATACATTTTCTGCAGAAAATATTTGTTGAAACTTACCAAATGCAAAACAGAAACATAGTTCCTAAGCTTTTATGAAATAATGGTATGTTAGTAACATTTGAGTTATAATTTAGAAGGCTTTTTGGTTTTGACAATGTGAAACTTTAAGAATATTTTCAAATGCTCTTTTAAAGTACTGATTTTAATTTGTTAATTAAAAGAATACTTAAAGTGACTGCTTACCCTCATTTGTATTTAAGGCTCAAGATCTCCAGCATCATCTTTGCTAATTATTCTCTATGTGAAACTCTCTGTGTTCATAGTTGTTCTGGTCATTTTGGGATTTGCTTTCTACCAGAAGATAAATGCTAGCAGGTAGGAACTAAAGATTCAAATGATAATATTCATTAGAAACTATGGAAGACATTAATCCACCGTGTGCTGGGAAAAGCTAGACATACTTCACTGCATATTCAGTGCCTTCTTTCCTATTAGACTTTGTGAATAACCCAGAAGCTCCCACAGATCTGGGACAAGACTTCCCACTTCACTGCAGCCATGACCCAGGGCTTCCTTGGCCAGAATTCAGTGGGAGTAGTGAAGCCCCAGGGAGTTCTCTAATGTTTGCATCCAATTACTTGCTGCTGGGGGCTTGGGTTCATTTCTTTTTAATTATATATTTTATGTTTTTCCTAGAGAATGACAAAAAGCTGAAAGTCAATTTAGACTCAATAAGACATGACAAGAAAGCAGCCATTTGCAATAAAACTGTCATGTTTAAAGCCCAGCCTGATGGCTGCCAGCACTATTCAGGCCTCAGGGTTTACGAGAACCCATGTACTAGTTGGCAAAACTTGTTTCAGTCCATCAGCACACAGTGAATCTACCCATGCAGATGCTTGACTCTTGCTACCATAAGTGCAGGATGATTTATCTACTTTCCACTTTTCTTTAGTGAGCTTCTATTAGCACAAGTGAAACAACATTTTCCCCAGCTTAAAGAGGAAAATGCTCCAGTAGCAGCAGCAACAGCAAAATAACAGTGCTGGGTAGTTTCTGTATGGCCTCACATAGTTTGGGTGGTATTTTCACTTGATTTCTTGATCCTTTCCTGTTGAGGACTTGGCCTTGCTCTAGCCTCCTGAAATGAGTAGATGACAAATGGCTTAATTAGAAGAGACAGTGATATGATATGAGGAGCTCTAAGAAAGTCAGAGCTCTCTCAGGAATAAAGACTCCTGGGAATATAGACTCTCTGGGAGTCAAGACAAAGAATGCCTCTCATCTTTATTCCACAGATTTGAGAGGTGCAGGATGAGGTGTGCCTGAGAGCCCAAAGCCTGCAAAAGTGGAGAAACAAAGACAGTAAATCTTGCCAATTAAGTGAACTGTTTGATCTCTAAGGTTGGCAAATTTATTGCTTGGGAAAAGGGAGTGTCAGCACCCATGTCCTGGGCTGCCTCAGCCCTGGTAGGATCTTGACTTCAGAGCACTGTGACTACGAGCTTTTCCATTTCAGCCAGAGATCCCTCTGCTCAGCAGCTTAACCCTAGGCAACCCAATCTCCAATGCTTTATGCCCTTGAGAAGTTAAAATAGCAGGAGCAACAAACACTCATGTAAGTGAGCCAGTAGATGACCTGGTTGTGTCTTGCCTGCTAACAAGGAAAAGAGCAGGTGGGGTGCATGTGTAGACTTATTAAATCAATGCCTGGTGTTAGTTTGAACAGCACTTGCATTTTAGAAGTTATAAATTCCCACTGAGGAACTGCCAGCATCATTGGGGACAATGCTGCAGGCACCTTTAATTTTTACAGCTCCAGTGTCTCAGTTTCCCATGCTGTCTACTCTATCAATTACAGAGATTGAGGTCTTAAAGAGTAAGATATTGGTAGAACCTCCGTATCTTTCAGGGGCACTGTAAGCTGAGACTGTATCTCCACTTGGTATAGGTGATGATCCTACAGTAAAACCTTTTTAATTTAAGTGAAACATCTCTAATGTAAAGTTGCAGGTGGCCTGGGACACTTATTTTCTGTAAAACTCTAGGAGAAGAAAAGAATGCACAACACTGGAGGATACTAAATAAACACAGTATTCTAATTGGATGGGGCTTTCATCCTACCTTCTTGGTTACACACCGAAAAAGTTTGATTCTTGGTCATATCCTGTGCCAGCATTATTGGTGAGGCCTGGCAGTGGATAAGAGGTGTTTTTGTAGGCTGTGATTTTTATCTGTTTTTGTCCTGTGACTACTTTGCCCTTCTCAGAGTATTCTCTATTCAGCTGGTGAATCAGAAATAGGATTTTATGTGGGAGGCCTTTATAGATGGCCCAGGCCTGGAGTAGCAAGCACTTCTGCTCACATTTGATTGGCTAGTCCTCAGTCCTATATATGGCTGTATGAACTTGGATGCTGCCTAGAAAATGTACCATGGCTGCTTTGAGGGGAAAGAAATTCAGCTGGATGCACAGCTAGCAAACTCTTTCTAAGGTGTAGGATGAGCACTGAAGGTATTCCACTCTATTAGTAACTTAGTAAGTAAAAAAAAAAACAAAAAACAAACAAACAAAAAAAACAAAACAACTTAGTAAATAAATATTACATATATAAGTTCCTGTATCTCTTTTTTATTACAATTTTTTTTGTGTGTGTGTTTGAAACAGGATGTGGAAAGGGAAGAAATTTAGTGATATAATTCTGTGACAGATTTTAAAAGACTATGGCACAGATTACAAGGTGTCTGGTTCAATGCCTTTGTCTTATGGCAAATAACTATATTCATGTCTCTAAATATTCATGCTTTTATCTACTCGTGTAATAGTTCTTGTAGTATTTGACTTTAAAGTTCTCTTCCTGAACAGAGTGTATGTTTACCTACCCCATGTAATTTGCTTTGAACAATGAAAAGAGGCAGAAGTGGCAAAACATCTGTTCTGAGTGTGGATCTCGGAGGTCCTGTGGGCTTCCACTTTCCACTCTATGAACATGTGCCTAACCTTGCTTGCTAGGGAATGAGAATCATAGAGAACACAGTGGTGTTGCCTCAATCTGACCTCCTTAACTCTCATCAAACCTAGCCTGGATGATCCAATAGTCAGCCATGCCCTAGTCATGTAGGGATGTAAAGTTGAGATGATCAGACCTGACACCTTCTGATCGCAGACATATGAGCAGTGTTTCTGCCTAGTTTCTGTGGTTGCTTACTATGCAGCATTATTGTGGCATGAGGTCACCAATATATTGCTTATTAGCACAATTCAGATTTTATTTACCATAGGGATGTATAAAGGTATTTCTTGGTTTTTTTTGCAGCAAAATACGATCACCAGTTTTGGAAAATGAGACACAAACATAAATCCTGGAGATAGTTTAAGAAAATCTTAAGAACAGGTTATCCTTTGCTTCCTCCTTATTTTGCGGTGTGATGAGTGACTCTCCAGCAGCCAACTTAGCCATGGCCCCACCGAGGAGGGCAGCTACTCACCAAGATGGAGAGAAAGAAAGATGGAAGGACCTGGATCCTGGTAGTCATTCAGTGTCCTCACCAGCCCTAAACTACCTTCTTATTGAATTTGTGTGAGAGAGAATAAACTATTTTGTCCATGTTACTGTTGTTTTGGATTTGTTTTGGTACATATAACTGAATTTAATCTTATTGAATACAAATACTTACTTCATCATTTTGAAAGTTTGCTGCCAACATTGCAACAACTGGTTATGCTCTACTGAACTGCAGGTAATGGCCTACTTTTTTCTTGCTTAGAGATAATGAAACAGACAACCTCAGAAGCTAGGCCTCATGCATATTAGCATTATCTCTATAATAATTTCAGAAGGATTTCTTTTTTAAAAAGTAATTTTATTGAGAAACAAATAGCAATGAGACAGTTTCAAAACTGATTAGTAGGAGAATTTCACTAATTAATACATTGCATATTGTTATCTTCTTAATGATTATTTATAGTACAAGATGCTGACATGATTCCCTGTCCAAACACTATTAATACAAATCTTTCTTTTCATTAAATTAAGAAAAAGTAGCTGTATATCTATCCTAACTACTTTCTATATACAGATACAAAATGGTCATTCATTTGTATCCTCTTTTTTTGCTTAGCTTTGTCAGAGAAGGGTATTCCATTGCCATTTAAATATTGTAGGTGTGTGAATTCAGCAAAATATTCCAATATAGTTCAGTAGTCCATAATAGTATTGGGTCATCCACAGGACTGGCATTGTCAGAAGTTGTTGACCTGAGCCCTTTACAGCCCAGCATACCAACATGGCTTCACCCTTTATACCTCATTTTTATACCTTTCTGATGGATGGTTAAGACTAAGATAAAGCAAAAGCTATATAACAAGAGATGTAACTTTTGTATCTGATAAGGTCAGTCAAGTCCCCTCAGGATTTATCCTGGAACCCTGTACCACACTTTGTAGATCTTTTGTCAGTGTCATCAGAAGAATTTCTGTTCATTTAAATTGAAGGGAAGGTGGGGGCTCATCGTGGGAAAGCACCTGGGAATCTGGGGTTGTGCAAAGATCATTCAGCATTCAATCAGCCAGTTCCTACATATGTGAAAACAAATCTGCATTGCAGAACCAGGGAGATGAGGATACAGCTGTGGACTCCTAGAGATGATAGAGTAGGACAAAGAACTAAGATCTATTGTACTTTACAGACTTTATTGTGTTAATTTCTGCCCACCTCTTTGGGTATTGAGGATTGAACCCACAGCTTTTCCCGTGCTAGGCAGTTGCTCTACCATTGACCTATATCCTCAGTCCTTTCAGTTTTGAGAAAGAGTCTTACTAAGTGTCCTAGACTGGGCTGGAACTTGAGGTCCTCTTGCCTCAACCTTCCCATGTAGCTGTGATTACAAGTGTGAGCCACCTGAACTGACTTGATTATTTTTGCACTGAATGAATTCTAGTCATTTGTGGGGGAGATTTATGTAAATTTGTGATCCTTCTCTGTCTCATTTTCATATCCATGGTTTCTGGATGACATTAAACTGGAAGAATAAAACAGCTATAGCTACTCTCCCCAACCCTTATCTTCATATATTTGTGTACAGATGGAGAAAAAAAACTATTGTTTTTATATTATGAACACACATATGCCTACACATAATTGTACATATGAACTCAATTATATCTAAAATTGAAGAAAATTGGGAAGAACTTTCATCAAAACACATTTGAGAACCACTAGATGGTGCTTGAACTTAATTTTTTTAGCATTTTAAAGCCAGTTAAAATCTCCTTAACCTCAGGCAGAAAAAGTCTGCATTATTTTCCTTTTATTTTTGCATATAACTACCCTACTATTTGCTCATGCCCTTGGTCTTCCTGGGTGGCTTTGGAGCAATTACACAAGGAAGGTGAAAATAGTTGTTTAAAATTAAGAAGGAAAAGAATTTCAGTTCCTAAACTTGTACTGCACTTTTTACTTAATTTAGTAGAAACCATTTACCAAGTGAGATAGCTTCCCTTCAGGGAGCAGGAAATGTAAGGGTGTATTCATGGTCACACCAAGATTAATACTCATTTCTTAAGCTGTAGAGTTGAGATCACCTGATTCTTAAGAAGCAAATTGCTGTGTCATTGGCTACAGATTCTTTTGGGCCACAGCCACAAGTACCTACACTTTTCTGCTTCCCAGGACCTCCCCTATCATGTATCAGAGGCAAACATGGTGTTCTTAAGCTGGAAAGAAACTACAGATAAGTGAGGTTAACTTCCTCATTTTAAAAAAGAGGAAGCTAAGACTTTCAGACTTAAAAGATATTGGGTGTGACCAAGAAGCCAGATGGCCTACTTTGTTTGCTTCTGAGAAGAAGGCAGCTACCCCAGGGTCAATTTCAGGCATGGCACTTCCAGAGGGTGGAGACTCACAATTTACTGCTTGGAAGCTACTGAGGATCAAGAGCCATATGGCATTCTCTTCTCATCTGGTTGCCCGGGCCACTTGACAAGTCTTTATCCAACTTCTCCCAAAGAAACAGATGATGCTGAGGTTGATTATGCTTATTTCTGGAGCTGAAGCTAACTAAGATTAAGATACCTGCCTGGTGGGAGAGGAGTGAGTGAAGGCCTGACCAAAACTGAGGCTTTGTGAAGAAGATGGAGAAAATGCATGAAGTGTTGCTGAACAAGATTATAATGGTCACCTTGAGCTTTACAAAATGCGACCCTTCAGAGGACAGTGGAAGAAAGGCAGATCAAGAAAAGCAGTTTACCTGAGCGAAAGCAGAGGGTGTGTCAGGATGGGTTTCTCTCAGGGCAACTGGGCAAACGAATCATTTCCTCCACATGTTTTAAATCTCATGAAGTCATCTGGGGACAGAAGAAGACAGTTATTCTGCTAAGATTGCCAGGAGAGTTTTGCAGATGCAGCAAATCTTAATGAAATTATCATGTTCTCTGAACAGAATGCCCAACTCTTATGACTGATTAACTCAATAGTAATTTAAGGATCAAACAAGTGGCCAAGAACATTGCTTTACATACAGCACAGAACCAGCATGAGTGTGAGAGAGGCAGTGGTTCTGAGAACATAGGGTCTTACTTTCCAAGTGGGATAAAGTTAAAAAAATTGAGGTACTTCTTATTATAGTTTTCCCTCATGAAATAGGAAAATAACTCTTAGTCTAGCTGAAGAAAAGGCGCAGAGATGATCTTTAGTTTCATAGTGACCTTCTAAAAGGTATTTCAAGATCACAAAATTTTGTTATTCCACTTATCTGAATTCAAATTTCTCTCATGCATAGAAGTATATAGTAAAAAAAATGAGTGAGTTCTTCCCCAAGACTTCTTGCCTATGTAACACACTTGGCCCACACATGCACGCCATGAAGATCCCATTTCCAGTGTGTTTGTCTTCTCTGCAGCCCTCACACATTGAGAAGAGAGCTATTTAAGGAAGCAAGTGAGTGTCTTGCATAGTAGAGGGGGACCATAGAGTGGGTCAGGAGAATTTACAACTTTAACCAGAGGAAACAGACAAGATCATATTCCGAAAAAGTAACTGCAACATAACATATTAAAACAAAAGGAATTGTAAAGTTCAACTACATGTCATGACTTGTAGAGAAAGAGAAAATTAATCACTTTACAAACTGTAGCTATGACTTGCCTGTCAGTAATAATGGAGTCTTTCTGAGAAAACAGAGCTGGGTATGAGAGACTCATCAATTACTGTCACTCTTTCACATGATGGGAATGTTGGCTTGCATCCCACCTTTTCATTTTCCTTTATGTTATCTTTGTAAAAGCAGACAACAAGAGGCCCATGGGGGAGGATGGTGCATGGCTACTACAATTCTGAAGGGCACTGTTGTAGTTAGGGAGTTAAAAGGGAAATAATACAGGACACATAATTTCTAGAATTATTTTATAATAACCACACAAAGAATCACCCACAAAAAGAGCACAGGAAATCTATCCACACACTACAGACCAAAAAAGCCATCTGAGGACCTGGATCCCATGATATTGTCTTGTATGAGTCCAGCTGAAGACTTAAAGCTCATAACAAAATCCTCCATGAGTCCAAATGAAGGCCAAGAGGCCACAACAATGTCTGCTGCAGACCTATTTTATGGATATGCACTAGAAAGGCCCATGGCTCAGTGGTGGAAGCTAGAAAGTCTGTGCCAGCAAGATGAAGGATTTGTGCTATCAGGCTTAGGGATTTTCACTGGAACCAGGAAGATGCTCAGTGCAAGAACCAGAGCACCCCTGAAAGATACCACAGCCATTCTTGGCAACAGTGAGGTCTGAGTTTCTCAGATGATAAGAACAGCTGAGCTCCCATCAGGAAAGCCAAGGCAACAAGCTTCTCTAGGAGACTGAGCAGTGCACCATCTTTCTCTCTGGAGCCAGGAATCGATGCTCAAGGTGAGGACCAGAGCTCCCCCAACATGAACCCTAGCCATTCTCAGAGACAGTAAGGTCCTGAGCTCATTTGACAATGAAAATAGCCAAGAAGTTCACCAGGAAAGTCAGCATGACAAGGTGAATCAACAGCTCCCTCCCTACAGCTCCCAACAGCTTCAAAACTTCTTCCTCTCCAGTTGTGCCTCTTACACCTCCTGAAACAATCCTCAGGTGGGCCTCCCATACCCAGCAATGAGCTGGTTCAGTTCAGCTGGGTGTTATACCTTGACCATCAGTTGTAAGTCCATCACAGGCATCTTTTCTAACATAAAGTATCCTGGGGTTCCTTGAGGTTCTCAGGCTGGAGGAGGTGGGCCTCTTCTTTCCTGAGTGCCAAGTAGCATGTTGCTTTCAAGCCTTCCAGTAGATGTAGACATGTCTTCAGACATGTTGGAAGCATGTGGGAGCCAGG